GAAATGCAACTATTGATGAAAACCACAGCATGTTAGGCGTTTGTTAACCTCTAATTTAACTTTTCGATTTTTCTAATGGTTGATCGTAAATCATTTTAAAAAATGATTAGCAATGGACAATAACAATAAACTAAACAGCATAAAAATGATTTATGATCAACCGTTAGAAAAATCGAAAAGTTAAATTGGAAGTTAACTAACGCCGAACATGCTGTGATTTTCAACAACATATATATATATATATATATATATATATATATATATATATATATATATATATATATATATATGACGATACAAATGACTCACTTCTACTGATTTATTCACACTTATAATATATACTTATGTATAGACTAGCTCAATTGATTTTATATATATATATATATATATATATATATATATATATATATATATATGTATATATGAATTATACAAAAAACATATATCATAAAGACTATATGATAAAATGATGATAGACAGACAGACAGATATGAGGCAGATGGATATATATGAGTAGTAGTTTAAAAATAGACACGCACAAAAATTGTATAACGAAGATATATTGTTAATGGAAAGCTGAAAGAGTTGGAAATGGAATAGGATCTTTAAAGCATCATAATAAACAATAATAAACAATAACAACAACAATAATAATAATAATAATGAAAATATTGTTATTAATGTTATTAACAATAACATTGAAAACAACAAACGACTAATTATTATGATAATTTACAAGATGCATACACTCACATACACAAACACACACATATTTTCATGATGAGTGTGTGTGTGTGTGTGTGTGTGTGTGTGTGTGTAAACAAATTATAAGATACGAACTCATAGAAAGAGAAAAATATCAAAGCAAAAATGTAGCCTTTTAAAATTAATAATGCGCGTGTCAAACAAAACTGAACATAAATACGTATATATATATATATATATATATATATATATATATATATATATATATATATAAATCAATATGGAATAAAATATATATTTATTGACGTAACACTAAAATAAAGAAATTCTAAAAACGAAAGATTTTCAACTGAATCAAGTAAGAATAATACGAATACATGATCGTTCTTGTAGATAATAATTGAAAAAAGATATAATTCTTCACTAATCTATCTACATATCATCCAACTACTATCCACCATTCCATACTAATCTATCTATGCACCTACCTAAAATTCTATCATTCCATACTAAACTACCTACCATTCTATCCTCTCAAAAATGAATTGGAGATTTCCAAAATAAATTTAGACGATTGAAACGCAAATTGAAATAAAGTGATAATATCTATGAAAGAATAAGATTGTAATAAATAAGAAAGAAAGATGAAAAGATGATGATGATAGCAATGAAGATGAAGAAGATGATGGCGAAAGTGATGAAGATGAAGAAGATGATGGTGGAAGTGATGAAGATGAAGAAGATGATTATAAAGAAGATGATGATGGAAAGGATGAAGATGAAGAAGAAGATGATGATAATGATGAAGATGAAGAAGATGATGATGATAGTGATGAAGATGAAGAAGATGATGATGGTAGTGATGAAGAAGAAGAAGATGCCATGAAGAAAAGATGACAATATAAAGAAAGTAACAAGTACAAAAGTCTGATGAACAGTTGCAGAAAAAGTCTAATCAATTTTCTCATCATCTTCAACTAACAAGGGAAAAAAATTAATTAACTAGAACAAAATACAACAAAGATACTTAAAACATATTATCGTCAACAAATACAATTATAATATTTAATTGCTAATCAATAGCTGAGAGCAATAACAACTGAATGATGCGCGCCACCATCAGCCAATCAGCATTCAGTTTGGCATTTAGGATTCAATGTCGATCTACGATTGGTTGATTTGCTTGAGGGGGAGGTACCAGGCAGCTTCGGTGGCACACTTGATCTTGGTAGTGCCTGATTTTCAGGGACTGATTTAATATGGGTGGAGAATCTGTTTGCGGTGGCCGATGAAAAAGATGATGACGACGAAAATGACGATGGATAAGCGTTCGGTGATGACGATGATGATGACGGTGACAATGATGAAAGTCCTACACCGCTGCTGGAACCACTACTGTTACTACTAGACGCAGACCCGCGTGGAATGTTCCTGCTGTTGTTGCTGCTGTTGAAGTTGTTCTTGGCATAATTGTTGTTTGTGGAGATGATGGTAGTTGTGTTGCCAGTGTTTGCGGCTGTTTTAGAAGCGACGATGCTTCTTGATGATTGAATGTTGTTTGTTTTTAATGATACGGTCGTCGATGTTGATGACGTTGTTGTTGTTGTTGTCATCGATGTTATCGATGGTTTTGATGTAATCATCGGTCTGTAAGAAGTTGTTGTTGTGAATTTTGGCTGAGTTGTAACTGCTGCTGTCTTGACAGCTGTACCGGGTCTAGCAACTGCTCCTTTCAAAATTGAAGCAGCTACAGTAGCAGCAGCGGCAGTAGTCCTTGTAGTAGAAAAAGAAGTAGTGGTGCCAGCAATAGAAACATTATGAGTAGCAGTGTTTGCAGCAGAAAAGGCTGACCTGACAGTTGATGTTGATTTCAGAATTGACAAAGGATGTTTCGCAGATGGTTGGGCCTTGGAACAAACTGAACCAGTTTGAAATAAAGTTGTTTTTGTAATTGCTGCTGATGTTGTGGCTTGTGTGGTTGTCGGAACAGCAGCAGCTGCACGCGACACGACGACAGGAATTACAGGATTTGTTGCGTGAGTTGTAAGGGACGTCGTCTGTTCTGAGTCAACTTTTGCATTTAATGTCGCTAATGGTAACGATTTCTTTTTGGAAGGAGCAGCCACGTTCGTGAATTTAGTTTCAACCGTTGTGGAGAGTGTTGTTGTAGCGGGATGCTGATGTAGTTGCTTCTGTTGCTGGAGTTGCAGAAATTGTTCTCTTATAGACAATGATGACGTAGTTGCTTGTTGTAGCTGCTGCTTTTTCTCGGGCAAGCTAACCAAATCATGTTGAATACAGTGATTAGAATTTTTTCGGGAGCTATCTTCTGATATTTGCCCTGCCTGTTGAGACTGATGCAACATTTCAACTGTGGCCTGTGTCGCTGCCGACATTTGAGGTTTCGCCGATAATATTTGAGTCATTTTAGTGACGTCAATTTCTTCATAAATATCTTCCAGCACATTATTATCATAGTTATTGCTACTGTTGTTGTTACTGTCAATGGTAGTTGTTGAACAAATGGATGGATAATGTTGTTGTATTTGTTGCAGCCTCCTATTTTTGAAGGCAGCTTTTGTTGCTTGGTGTTGTTCTGTCGTGCTATTCAACGAACTGGATGCTGTTGATGGTGGTCTGACAACAACATCTTCACCGGCAACAATTTTTTTGTTGTTGGCAACACTGGACGACCTGAAGACTCCTCTCAACAAGCCAACACTTTTGTTGTTGTTGTTGCTGTTCCCATTAGTACCACTGTTGAAGCGGTGATCCTCATTTTTATTGTTATTTTCAGAAATATTTTGATGATCGTTATCATTTCCATGTTTGTTTTTTAAGAAATCAGAACTGAAATTAAACTTTTTCAAGAAATAGACATCTGGCTTCTTGGTGCTAGCCAGTCTGTCAACGATGGTGTTATTTTTGTATAAGACTTCTGGAGTGCTTATTGCTACTGCTGATGTTGCTGGTTGAGTTAGGTCGACCTGACCCAAATTTCCGATTGGCATGAGATATTCATGTTGTTTGTGTGAACACAGATCATCGTCACCAGCATTGTAATCAACGTTGCTAATAGCAACATCCTTGCCGCTGTTGCTATTGTGAGCTAATGCATTGACGCGGTGGTTACTGTTGCTGAAGTTATTGCTATTGGAATGATTGTTAGAAGCGAGGTTATGTTTGAAATGTTGATGTGATGCTGCATGTTGATGAGATGTTGCATGTTGATGTGATGTTGCATGTTGATGTTGCAGGAATGCCAACTTTTGACAATCCGAACAAGAGTTGTTAACGCAAAGATCTGGTTGAAGTTGATTATAAAAGTGAGCGACATTATCATTTTTGGCTCCACCCACTAAGCAAGCACCTTTACAATCACCTTTCTGGTCGTCATCGTCATCGTCGTTCTCTAAAATGCAGTCACTATTAATATTCTTCAAATTTTCAAGGTGAACATTCGTTGTGCTGACCAATAGCGGTTTAGAAATATCACGAGGCGTAAAACTAAGTCTTTTGATTGGCTCGTTTGAATTCTTCGAACCTGCTTCGCAACGTACAAAAGCTGAAAGTGGTCTCTTGAGAGAGCTGAGTGCAGATGATGTTGACGTCGATGGAGCTGACGCGTTTGTTCTTCTCGGCATGGTGCACTGTGAGTGGTGCAGAGGGATGGGAGCAGCAGCTGGTGAATGTTGTGCACTGCTGGCCGGATCTACAGGTTTAATTCAAATATATTCCATGTGATTTTGTTGCATAATCTAACGCTTAACATAATCTCAATTTAAACGTGATATCATTTTTTTAAATTTAATGTGAAAAAATTTAAAAGAACAAAAACAATTGTATTTCAAGCATCTAACTAATTTGGCAAGCGTTTGGCCTGGGGGGAAGACATGAAGGCCTCATCATTTTTTTCTTGGAGAGGACTGCTGGTTGATCTAACTGATCAGTTTGAACTTGAACAACGTTACTGTAGACGTTCAACATTGTTGAATTTCCTGTTTGATGTTGTTGTTGCTGCTGCTGATGATGGCAGTAATGTATGTGTGGATCTGTTTTAAATTAATGGACAAATTTGATTCAAAAGTTGGAACATGAAATATCGAAAAAACGTTATGTAGATTCGTCTAACTATTATTAATTACTATCGTTACAATTCCTATTCCTATTTCGTGTGACCAACCTTTCATCAAGTTAACCTTTATCAATTTAATTAAATTGATAAAAGTTCATTAGCATAGTTTGTTAAATAAATTTAATCAATGTTATTGAAATTTGTGATGATGCAAATCTAGCACAGGCCTTTGACTTTGAAACTTGAGGAGTGGTTATTATCATCTGTGCACTGCTCCTTTAGTTAGTTACATGTACTGAATCGTCCTACACCTACATGCATATTAATGACATCATACATATTTATACGTAATTTTTGAGCCCTACCTCTTAGTGATTCCCTTTTCTTGATTGTTGTTAGTGTTGATTGTTTCAACAAGAAACGTGTAATTACCCAGAATTATTGACAATCAATCAATCAATCAATCAATCAATCAATCAATCAATCAATCAATCAATCAATCAATCAATCAATCAATCAATCAATCAATCAATCAATCAATCAATCAATCAATCAATCAATCAATCAATCAATCAATCAATTAACTAACCAACCAACCAACCAACAAATCAATCAATCAATCAGTTTATAAAGCGCTATTTCCGCGATGTTCAACAGCGCTCCTCAATGAATTTTGCAAACAAATGGGTCTTGAGATCCGCTCTGAACTTTGTAAGTGATGGAGACGTAGTCAGAGAAGTAGGTAGAGAGTTCCAGAGAAAAGGGCCAAAAAAAGCAAACGCAGATTTAGCAAAAGAGTGCTTAACTCGAGTTAAGAAGAAGTGAGAACAAGAAGACGATCGTAAATCGGGGCGTTTAGGTTCAATTAATGTATCTGATAAGTACTTAGGAAATAATTGAGACTTATACACGAATGTGCAAATTTAAAAAATTATTTTATATTTTGTATGTAGCCAGTGCAAGAGAACAAGATATGGAGATACATACATGAGAAAAAAGGGGCACAAGCAACTAGACAAGCAGCAGAGTTAAAAGATTTACTTAAAGGATAGAAAGAGCGAGTTACAATAATCAATCCTAGATAAAAAATAACGAAGTAGCAAGAATGTCAAACAAATGACATAAAAAACAAACTTAAATCCATAATGTTCTTCTACCAAATTAAACAATAATAACATAACAAGTGAAAACATAAGAATCATCAACAAAAAGCAACTTGTAAAATTGACTGTTTACCAAAAAGAATCAGGAACTTCTAATCCAACAATCAAAAAATAAACAGAGAACTGAAGAAACAAACGAGGACAAGCTTTTAGAGAAAAAAGCTGCAGACAAATGAATTTTATTTAAAAAAAATATACTTTGAAATAATCTATCGAAATATCATTTTGTTCCAAGCATGGTCTGATTTTAATAAAGATATACACATGACCATCACATGATTTAAAGTCCATTAACAAACAACACACACACACACACACACACACACACACACACACACACACAGTTGCATCTTTCAGTTCCTTTATTTATTTATTTTTTTTTAAACAAGTTTATTTCATGTAACGCATAAAAAGAAGGAAACATGAAAAATGGCCCTAAAAAAGATAAAATCTCAAATAAATAAGAACCCTACAATTTATTAATAGTTGCTTTTTTTTTTAAACTAAATCATATGATTATATATATTTAGATGTACCAACGTTGTAACCTTATCATTATTAATTGTTGTATTATTATTTAAAATTTTAAAGTATGCTAATAATTGCATATGGAAAACTGTGCTCCATATTATTTTGTCTAATATTCAACATTTAAATGCTTAAGTTCTGTGGATGATGACTTGTTAATAATTACGGTGAGGTCATTATGTAAATTCATTTTCTTATCAGAATGTATAAATCAAAGTTCATATGTAAATAAATAAATAAATAAAGAGAAATATATATCATTATTTATTTTATTAAAGCTAGAATAATATACAGTTTTCCAATTCATTCTCGAGTGTGTAGCACCTATTTCGATTTTTCAATCATCTTCATAATAGGGAATTCATATAACCCAGTCCTTTGTTCCTGTGATTTGCATTTATTGTTATCAGTGACTTGGTTAATTTTACTGTCTTCTTTACTAACTGATATGGTTTCTTTGTTCGGGTTAATTACTTCGGTGTTATGTTTTATTGCTCCGGTGTTATGTTTTACTGTGCTAATTTCATTGGTATCATTTACTTGCTCCTTGGTAGCACTTTAGTCAATGTTACTTTCTTCAGTGTCTTCATCTGTACCATTGATGTTTGTTAGTATATTTTATTATTGTTCTTTTTGTCGGAAGTATTGTTGAAATATTTTGTTGTTTATCAGGCAAATAAACCACACAATAAACCACACACAGGAACAATTATCATCCAGCCAAAAATGACGCCATTTCTAAACATCACCAACCACTTTAAGAATGGCACGAAACTAGTAACTGAACAAAAACGTTACTAAGGTTAGTTAAGAAATCAGACTAAGGCATGTTCAACGTGCAGCTACTTTTATTCGTTAGCTTCATTTTTTAAACAATGAGACTGCATTTACAAACTACCTACTGAAAATAGATACGAAAAAACTGGCAGTCACACATGACTTGGATCTCAAGGTATGCCGAAATTAAAATTAATAACTCGATAAACTCATAAAATCGTGGAATTATAGAACGTCTGATCATGTGATGAAACGACATTTCCAAAATGATTAAAATGAATTTAAAATACTGATCAATTGAAAAACAGTGCAATAAATGCAGCGAGCACCTAGAATAGCAACAACATATGCGATCCTCCAAAACTGATTTCAAAAGTCATTAACCTTTCACAAGATCAGTGAATTTTGAATACCAATCATTTGTATGTTGTCGGTTTAAAGACATTTTTCTTATGGCAAAAAAGGTAATAAATGCAATTTTGTAGTTTTAATAAGAAGTTAGAATCTAATACAAATGTAGATATTTTGTATTTTACGTTTAACCTTCCATAATTTTAAATTATTACTTTTGAATTTCTTTCCCAATTAGTTGATTTGTGTGCTTGATCAGGTTAAATAAAACAAAACTTTCAAATAAATAAAAAATGGTTCTCCATTTTTCCAACTGATGACTGCCTCATTTTTAACAACGACATCACCCACTACAACATTAAGAACCACAACAACAATAACATCAACAGCCACATCAACAGCCACATCAACAGCAAACAACATTAAGTAAAAGCAACAAAATCAACTAATTAGCAATCATTAATAATATACTTTCTCACCAAATTTGCAACTGTCTGCAAGATTAACCGGCAAATGTTGAAGCAATTCCTGGTGTTGTTGTTGTTGTTGTTGCTGCTGCTGCCACAAAAGTTGTTGGTGAGAATGGTTGACTCCATCCCCACTGCCACCCACCCTGTTGAAAATGTTCCTCAGCCCAGCAAACAAAAAACATCTTCTCTTCTTCTCCTTCTTGAATTCATCATCATAATTCGTTGCTGCTGCTGTTGTCGCAGATGATGCTGTTGATTTGGTTGCAGAAGTCATGTCTAAGGTAATTACTGTGTTGGGACACGCGGCTGATAACGTGGCGTTCGTTGCTGCAGCCACTGACGACGAGTGACTCACTTGCACAGATCTACGTTAATAAACATTTATTAAAAAATAATTTATCAGCATTAACAAACGTGGCAACGATAATAATTATGAAAATGACATCAAACACAAAACAGCATTTTGGTTGCCAGACAACAGCATTAAAACACCAATATTAATGTCATTAATATTTGTGATAACAATGAGAGCTCAGACATTAGCAGCACAACTCATGACATAAATAGTGTCAATGACAATAAAATAAACAACAACACAAACGACAACAACAACATTTTATCCCACCAACAATAATATCCATCCCACTAACTTATACTTATCCCTCTTAATCCCAAAGACAGTTTCCTTGATCCTTTTCCTGTTCCTGACGAAACAGACGATGATGATGAGAAGTGGGAGGATAAAGAAAAAGGACAAACACAACATCATCGTGGTCAGTCGGCTGCTGTCCTCCTCTGTCGTTGGGCAACAATTTGATATTCATTAATTACAACTCTATTTATGTAAATATATATCAATCGATCCTCGTTTGGCGTCCAGAGACCCAGTTCCCCGAGGTAGGACGTTGTTTTCTTTGCCATCAATTTTGTGCGCCAAATCAGACGATCAGTTGTATCCATTTCATTTAAATTATTTATGTAAATATATATATAACTATAGAAATTAAAGTTCAACAATCATATAAAAAGAATGATATAATTACACGAACCTAGAGGACGGATGAATAAAAAAGTACTATATCATATCAGGCAATATTATTGATAATATATTGATAAATTAATCAGTGAACCAATCATCCATCAATCATCAACTGACCATCAGCCATTCAACCAATCAATCACCTTGACGGGACACAGATGGGTTGCTATGGTTACTGCCCCCGTAGCCAATCGTATCACAGAATGGTGGGGAAAACCCAGGATCACAATGACACTGAAACAGACTGTTGCATATCTATAGTGATAATGAGAACGTTTAATCATTGTAATAGTGTATTGGTTCATTCTTTCACTCCTTTATTTATTCATTCATTCATTTCCTTCAATCCCTCCTTTATTTACTCACCCCATGTCCGTGACAATCAGGGCATTTGAATGGAGTTAAGATATGGAGAGGCTGACATTTCATGTTGATGCATATCTGATGTGTGTGTGTGTGTGTGTGTGTGTGTGTGTGTGTGTGTGTGTGTGTGTGTGTGTGTGTGTATGATCAATTAGCTGGCAAACTGATGAAACCAACTTTTGATGAATAATAAATGAAAATTCATCAATATTTTATTTATCAATGGTTAAAGTACTAAGTAGGGGTTTTAAGGTTCAACCTCACAAACAGCTTGAGAACTTGAAAAATTATCAACCAATTACAAACCATCAAAACCAACCATATCCTCCGCACACTTGGCACCATCGGGAACCATGCCCGGCCCGTTCGCCTTGTACCCCACATCAAGGACCACCCCCTTGCACTCCTTTCGCACTCCTTGCAGTGTAATGTAAGAATCTGATTGGTCGAATGCCATTGACTCCTTCATTAGCATCAACTTCTCGTGCTTATGCTCGCAGTGCAACATGCCACATTGAATGTTTCTGAGGTTGGTCGGTTGGTCGGTTGGTTGGATAGTTGGTTGTTTGATTAGTTGGTTGGTTAAAAAGTCGGTTTGTCGGTTGGACGATTGGTTGTTTGATTAGTTGGTTGGTTGGTCGGTTTGATGGTTGGATGTTTGATTAGTTGGTTGGTTGGTCGGTTGGTTGTTTGATTAGTTGGTTGGTTAAAAAGTTGGTCGGTTGGATGGTCGTTTGGTTGAATGATTGATTGAAACACAAATTACAGGTTAATCAAATTTAACAGTTTGTTTATGATAAGTCAGCTAAATAATATGAAATATTTGTGTTAATTTAGAGATGAATGATATTAGCTTATTTCATTACCAGTTTCATTTCACCAATTCAACAATCCCCTTATCCATTCATTTAAAAAATCAATCATCATACTTAGTTATTAATTAATCCATTGATCTAATCAACCAGCCATCTATCTATCCAACTAACTATCCATCTATCAATCGATTGATCCATCCATCCATCCAACTATCCATCCTTCGAAAACTTACTTCTTCTCACACTTGAGATAATTCTTGAAGTTATCCCAGTTCAATCCGCAGTTGCCTTCCTGAGTGCCTAGAACATTCTTTTCATAGCAGGCGTCGTGTGACTTTAGACCTGTCCTGCCCCACAACAGCTGGCACTGTTCATCGTGGCTGGTGCACTTGCCATGGTAGCAGTAGGATGGGTTCTTGTGATTGGTTGGATTGGTTGATTGTTGATCGATTGATTGTTGTTGATTGGTTGGATGATTGTTAACTGGTGATTGTTAACTGGTCAGCTGATTGATTAGTTGGTTTATAGCTGATTGGTTAGTAGATGGATTGGTTTGTTAGTAAGCTAAATAATTAGTCGGTTGAGATGCAGTTCAAAGCAAGAAAAGATGTCAACAACAATGGCCAGAGTGTCTCAGAAATATATCTATGAAAAACAAGAAAATCAAGATAGACATCAGTGAACACCAGACCACACATAACACAACACAGCGGAACATGTGAGGCACCCAACCTTGAGTCTTGCGGTGAGGCAGGGCATGCCATCATGGACGTGTACATCGTCGGGACAGTACTCTGAAGTACCACTGCAGTACTCTGCTACGTCACAATCGCTCGTACTCGCTCGACATACTGTCGCCGATGGCTTCAACTGCATCAAATCACGTGATTGACGATTTAGTTCAATTGCAAGAAGTTAGAATGGTCGGTTCAACTAATTGACTGAATCAACGAAGCATAATTGTTATGTTATGTTTTATTAAGTTAACATTGTTGGCTAATGACATTAATGAATAGGACCAACTATCATCACATTAATCATCACCAAAATCTTGACATTAGCGGAGCTACCATCAACCAACTGAACTGACAACAACATCATCCTCATCATCATCATCATCGTTATGGTGATAACTAAACACAGCGCCGTCACTGACCCTGCAAGTTTGAAGGTCACAACACTTGCCCATGGAGCAGGTGGCGTTGTTGAGGAGGGTGCAGCTGTGTGGGTTGCAACATGGATTGTCACAGTCCTGCCGGGAAGGGTTTCATCAAATGTTCACACGATATCACAGCTACTATTATCATCGTCGTCGTCACCAGCCATCCTCAACAAACTTCGGGAAGACCACAATCGCATTGTTCGCCCTCCTCCCTAAATCCATTACCACAGACCGGACCATCGACCAACTTATCGGGCAGATTGTGCAGGCAGTAGTCCATGCCTTGTTCCAGGACCTCTGCAAACTGGTTCTTTGAACATACTGACCATTTCGTGGGATTCGTGATGCCACTGTGTTTGTTGTTGTTGTTGTGTGTGGTGGTGGTAGACGTCGCGGTGAAAAATGTCTTGGTGGTGATTGTTGTGGACATGATTCCCAGGTTCTTCAAATATAAACTCATCTAGAACCATTCCCATGTGAGCCAAATTATTAACACTTCTAGGTACATGGCACATACACACAGAGAATACATACATGCAAAACTGTAGATTCATTCTCAGGAATGCACCTTTCAAGTTTTTTAAACACAGAACCACACCCTACTTCATCCTACCCATACATATACCAGCCCTCACCCACCTACCCACTAATGTTGGCCATGATGCATCGGTTGTCGGGACATCCGCACACTGGATCGTCGTGCACGAGGCCCAGGTTGTGAGCTAGTTCGTGAGCGATTGTCGTCGCAACGGGACCAACCAGAGTACTGTGGTCCTGTGGAAGGGTTGGTGGTCACGTGATGATGGATGGTTGTCACGTGTTGTTGTATGGTTGTCTAGGGATGATAGATGGTTGTCACGTGGTTGTCACGTGACGATGGCTGGTCGTCACGTGATGATGGCTGGTCGTCACGTGATAGTGGATGGTCGTCACGTGATGATGAATAGATGGATGTCATGCGATGGTTGTATGCGCTGGAATGATCGTATGCACATGTGGATGGATGTTGATTGATAGACGTTGAGATAAATAAGAATAAAAATGAGCTTATGTGACATTATCACTTACCAGTAAAAGGAATAAATTCCACTAAGTGTGTCATAATAATTATTTACCGTACTTAATTTAAAATGAATCGTGACCTATAAACATTTTGGAGCGACATACCAGATTGACACCTCCTGAGAACTGCCAGGAGCAGATGGATTGTATGGGAGCCTTTCCCACCACACCTGGACCCAGTTGTTTACCTCTGTGACGTCAGTGAAGTAGCATGAAAAAAATTATAACTTCTTCATCATTATGAGAATAAATTATGATAATAAACAGCTAAATGTACAGTTTATTAAATGTAATTTATTTAAAAAAATTTCGAGAATAAAATTATGTAAAAATATTTTAAATGTTGAAAAATTGTTAAAAAAAAAAAAATAATCATACAAGATGAGCTGAGCATTGTCGTTGTGGTGCTTGGTACTGATGTGGTTCTTTCTGTAGTTGAGGAATCTGTTCATGGTGTCATCTGCGTTGTCGTTGATCTGTATCTTGTCCTTCTCCGTCCACACCTCAACACCCACCAGACAGATGTACGTGTTGAAAAACTGGTACAACTGATCAGTGCAGTGGTTGATTGATCGATTGGTTGGTTGGTAGGTTGATTGATTGGTGGATTGATTGATTGATTGGTTGGTTGGTTGGTGGATTGATTGGTTGGTTGGTGGATTGATTGGTGGATTGGTCAATATTTAGTTGGTTGCTTGAGTGGCGAGAAGTGATTAGTTGGTTGGCAAGTTGATCATCAACTGTTTGAATGGTGATTTCTCAAACAGTTAATGGCTGAATGAATGAATAAACGAATGAATCAATAGTTTGATACTAATGATAAATTCATTTCATTTGAGTTTTGCAGAGAATGTTTAGAGTGTGAGAATGAATATTTTTACCGTTCTACACCTTTGTCAAAACAAAAATTTAAAAAAAATTTAATTAATAACTTAAAAAAATTCTAACTGAATTGACAATGTTTATAGTGTCTTTGGTCCGCTGAAGAACTCTCCTTATGTCTTTGCCATTGTTGACGTACTGGTAAAAAAATGTTTGCAAATTTTATTTTAAATGAAAATAAATGAATGAATGAATGAAGGTATTTAAGTGAAGAAACAATGAATGAGATTGTGGGCAGTTGGCTTACCATGGCATTATCGTTGACGATATAGAGTTCGATGATTAATGTGTTTTCGTTGGAGTTGTAAGGCCACGCGACGGATCTTCTCTTCTTCCTCTAGAGGTGTCACGTGATTTTCAGTCATTAAATTATTGTTTAGCGTCATCATCGTCATTGTCACCGCCATCATTTTTTTATTATTATTATTCTATCCAGTTACCTCCACCATCATCATCATCATCTGCGTCATCATCAAATTACAATTCTCATCAATAACATCATTGTCATAATCAACATCACTTTAGTCATAGTTTAATCTGTCATCATCATCGTCGTCGTCGTCATCATTAAGCATGCAAATGAATAGAACCAAATATGAAAACAGAATCAACTGAACATTATAAAAAATAATTTTAATAAATTTAAAATGTCCAACAATAAAATCTATTAGCTAGTAGTAGCAGTGATAATAATAATAATAATAATAATAATAATAATAATAATAATAATAATAATTGTAATAATAATTGTAATAATAAAATAAAAAACAATATGGCAAAGATAAAAAAAAAAACTGGCATAAATAATGAGACCAATTACCTTAAAAGGCCAAAAAGTGCTGCTATTGTTGTAATAACTGTTTTTGATGTTATTGCTGATTTTAATGATGTTGAAATTGTTGTCAATGTTATTGCTAATGATATTGATTTTGTTATCGTAGATGCTGTTGTTAATGTTGTTGTTGTTGCTGATGTTGTTGTTGTTGATGTTGTTGATGTTTTTGTTAATGTTGTTGTTGTTGTTGATGTTTTTGTTAATGTTGTTGTTGATTTTGTTGTTGATGTTCTTAAAGAAGGCTTGTTGCTGGCTATCTTCATGACCTATCCATTTTAAAAAGGACAGCAAAAAAAAACAAAATGATGACCCCGTTTTAGAATATTTACTAAAAATAACTTGAAATAAATTTAATTATACAACACAAATATGATATAAACATGATTTAAAAAAACTTTCAATTGAAGACGAAGTCTCAAACAACAATAACATAAGTACCAAACAACACAACAACAAATGCCAACAACAAACTGCACCAGGAAGCAATAAAAAAATTGTTATTCAATTTTTAAAAACAATTAAAAATTATGTGTTAATTAAGGTATAACTGGTAAAGATAATTGAAGCAGTAAAAATGGACAGACAAGCTAACAGGGAGATAGGCAAACAAACAGTCACAAAGACAAACAGTCAGACAGACAAACAAGTGGACAAACAAACAGTCAGAAAAATAATCAGAAAAACAATTGGAAAAAACAGACAGTCAGACAGCTAGCTATACAGTACCACATTTTAAGCTTGTTGGTATGGAATCAGATCCTTTTAGTAAGTAATGGGAATCAAGTTTGAAGGATGATGAAGACGACGAAGATGATGATGATGAAGAAGATGATTCTGTAAATGATGATGATGACGATGATGAAACGGGCTCAATGTAATAACTGTCTTCTTTTGTTGTAAAGTAACCCCTGTTGAAAAATTGTAAAAAGTTTCACCATTCAAAAATTGTTTGATCATGAATATTATTGCCAAAAATTTTCATTCACATGAATAAAAATTACACAAAAAAACAGGTCATTAAAAACAAAAATACAGCCTTTGTGTTTAAGATAAACAAAGAATGATTTAGTAACTCAACATCTCTATCATTAAACATCAATCATATTTCTTTATAATCAGAGCTATGGAATGCAAACCTTACAAAACAAATTTCAATGGATGTTTTTTGAAAGAATTCTAAATAAATTTTCAATACTTACTTAATAAAAGATTCTAAACATAGACATACAAAACACATATTCCTACACACACACGCGCACGCACGCACACACACACATACAAAGACATACAAATATATACTCAGATTCTCAGACAAATTTACACATTGATTAATTTTTAAGTGGAAAATGAAAAAATATTTAAATAAAAATAAAATAAACTGGTGTAATAATAAATTAACCTTAATAACCCTCCACACAAACTTAGAGCAACAACATTTTCATCTTCGTCATCGTCATCATTATCATCCTCCTCCTCCTCATCATGTTCATCATCTCTGATATCATTCTTGATATCATTACCATCATTGTTACTATGCCCCAAGAACCATCCATTGTAATAACAATGTGATGATGATTTCTAAGTTGTGCAAATTCAAATGAATACATAAAAAATTAATTGAAAAAATAATTAGCCAATTAAAAAATAAGTTAAATAAATAATAAATTAAAAAAAATTATATAACAAAGCTGCCATTGTTGCTACCATATAAATTTAATTCCTTAACAACTTCAACCAGAGTGAAAACAATCAAAAGTGTGAGAGCAAACACATAATACATACACGCGCACACACATATACACACACACATTGATACACATACCACACACAAACACACACGCAAGCACACAAACGAACACATACACTGACATAAAAGAGTGTTTGAGCAAATTTATTTTATGATATCCCATTTCATATGAGAACTGTCAGATAGATATAAATTATATACAATAATCATTGTTGAATTGTTTTAAACACATTTAAAGGGTGTTAAAAAATTTCTGGCTATGTAATGTAGATGCTAGATGCATATATATATATATATATATATATATATATATATATATATATATGGCTAGATGTAACAAATTCCAACTTGGAATGTTTATGTTATTAATAATAGATAGTGCAGCCCATTTGCGAATTTAAATATTCAATGTTGTGATGCTAAGCTGAGTTCAATATTTTAAACAATACCAAATCATCACTCAATAACTTTATTATATAAAGTATACCTTTTTACTCACAAATTGGCATGCTATCAGATGTGATGTAATGCATTTATATGGTACAAATATAATAATAGATAGAGTTCCTGTCAAAATATTCATAGATGATGAAGATGGAGAAGATATAATGAACTAATGAACTAAAAACTTGAAAACAAGAGCCAAACTAACATTGAAATGGTAATATGATTCCCCAGTGTTATTCACTGATTTCTCAATATAATTCACTCCAAACAAATTTCTGCATTTACAACAACAACAAAAGACAATTCAAGAAAATTTTGAAAAAAATGAATTTAAAAATAAATTCTTTGTTGGAATAAATATTTTAAATTAAAATAAAAACAAAACTATAAAATAATATAATATTAAATATTTTATGGACCTGTTGAGTTGGAGTGCCATGTTGAACATTTTCTTGTGGGTTTTAACTTGGAGGTGCACAGACTGGGGATAAGAGTCATTCTGCATGCAATGAAATGGTTTAATAAGAAAAGAGACAAGACGTTGAATAAATGGAAAAAATGAATCAAGAACATTAGGAATTTAATTTTATTAAATATTTCCTCACTTTTAATCCATTGTATGAGACTGGAAAATGATTTGGCAGCAGAATTGGATGGAATATTTCATATGTTTTAAATTCTTTCCAAACGTTTTCATTGCAAAAAACGCCCGCAACTATAAAGAAAAAATTCAAAAAAACAATTAATAAAAATAATTGTTAACTTTTTTGATTGTAACTTATTTATATAATTCATTTT